GTGACAACTTAATTGTCCGTTCATGTGTAAAACCAAATCTACCATTTGGAAACAATACAGGAAAGGCAAGCTCTTCACAATTTTTATCCATCATTAATGAAACGGGGTGTTTGTTTTCACCAGGTGCAATGTTATACACTTCATTGCCTAATGAGCAATTTTTCTATTTTGTGTTCTTGCAATTGGGTAATCTGGTAACAGAGATTGTAAACAGGTCTCATTAGGTGCTTGGCGATACTCATTTAATGGATCATCCTGTTCTTCAATATCATCATGATCATTTGAATCTGAGACAACATCATGTGGCCTGTTATCTGACAGATTATTTTTGTTTGTTGTAAGATCACCATGGCATTGTTGCTGCTGAAGACTTGTCAAATTATCTCCAAGACTACTAATATCAATTGTTATGTTATGATACAATGGGTTGTGTATTTTAAGCCAGTTTAGGCATTCAAAACAAACTGAGGGCGTACTGCCTGGAAATAAACATGACCCCTAAATTCGAGCTTCCTTTTTAGCTTCTACATAATGATACCAGATCTTTCTGGTGGACGAGGTAGAATTTTACAGGACTGGTCACATTCAACAGGCACATAACATATTGCTCCTTTAACTTTTTTCTGCTGTCCTTTTGGCATCACAATAATTTTATCAAAAACTATTCTTTGTGCTATAAGAATCTGCTCGAGCTTTTCTAAGCAAAGCAATTCATTTGGTACATCGTCAACATACATGTCATTACGTACTGCTTGACATGGTATTTTAGCCTTTAAGATTTTTGAGTGGCATGTTTTGCAAATGTATTGTTTTTGATCAAATGATTTAACATTGGTGAATAAATCTGCCATACTATTGTCATATGTAGATTTTTGCAATAAAATAACTGATTTCCTATACAGTAATCGCTGACAAACTGAACATACAAAAAATGGACCATCTTTTATTTTTGACTTAAATGTTGATATGCAATTATCTAAGCTAGATTGCTTGGACCTGCAGTTTTCAGATTTCTTCTTCAATAGTTCATCTTTTTTGCAGGGATGCATGGAATGATATCTGTTCACAAGCTTTTGAAGGAAAACATTCTTTTTTACAGGATCCATTGAGGTATATTTCTTAGCACATGTTTGGAGGAGGACATTCTTTTTTACAGGATCCATTGAGCTATATTTCTTAGCACATGTTTGGAGGAGGACATTCTTTTTTACAGGATCCATTGAGCTATATTTCTCAGCACGTGTTTGAAGAAGAACATTCTTTTCTACAGGATCCATTGAACTATATCTCATTGCAAATTTTTGATGGAGAACATTCTTTTTTACATCACTCATTGATTTGTATTTTTCAGCATTTGTATCAAGAAGGGCTTTCTTCTTTAAAGGATCAATGGATTTATAAGTTTCTTTCTGTTTCTCCAAACAATGTTTTTTTCTGCAGGATCCAAATTTGTATAATCAGTTTTACGTTTTTCTGACATGTTCTTTTCTGTGCAGAGGATTTATGTTTTCTTACTACTTTCTGCCTTTCTAAATTTGACAACTTGTGCGAACATAATAAAAATTGAGCATCATATGACACATTTTGACATTTTACTTTACTAGAAAATTCGTAGAGTTTATCAATTAAACAATTTGGCGTGTCACAAATTTCAAATCCAATTTTCCTTAGCATATCATTGTATGCAATAAAATAGTATTCTGTACCACATTTTTTATGGTTGAAAATGCAAGCTAAACAGAAATCAGAAAACCACACTAAAAATCCAGTGTTGTTTGCAGTATGTTGTGAGATTAACTTCACAAGTAAAGGTTTATTTGGAACAGATAAAATACCCTGTTGTCTTGTTGTGTATACTATGTCAACCTCAGCATCAATAATAAACAATCTTTGTGGGAAGTCTTCCGGATATGTAATCTTATTTTCAATGTTCAGGGATTTGTAAAATAAGATAGCATTTTCTGCAATAGCATCTCTTGTGGAATCATCCCAGTATGTTGATGATTTAATTGTAGAAAAACAAATAGAGTAAATGTATATCGCACACAATTCTGAGAATGTGATTATGTCAGTTTCTTCATGTGATGTGTCAACTAATTCACCTGATTCTGTATGGTCATTTATGCTATTTGTTGGTTGTTCATTTCCAATAACAATTTTAACTCCTTTCAATTCAAACAAAACATCACGATTGTAACAGGTTTTAAAATATTCAGCCAATCGATCGACAGATGATACTTCTAACAATACACATGTTCCATGTGGTTGAGGCATACCGAAGGAATCTCTTGCATGTGAATCAAATACTTTTAGTGAGCCATTTGGCATCAAGTAAACTGACACTGTATTGCATCCAATTGTAACAAGGAATGAATCATAATTTTGTTGCAACAAATTTTGCATAGCACAAGAAAAAGGCACAACATAAGGATTGTCATCATCAATAGTTTGTGCATGGAGTCCACCAGTGTAACTTTCACTAAACTGAAGTTGGTAATTTGTATCAAATACCGTTACCATGTTAGGTAATTCAGTTAACAATAAAAATGTTTGTCTAGATAAGCTGGATAATGCAGAATAGAGTTTATTACCAATATCCATAATTACTATAAGATCGTCTGGACAAGTTATTGCTGTTTCAGTGTACTTATAGATCAAAGCACATAAACTCATAGCTACACATTGTGTGCCTGCATTGGGGCCAAATACTGCAACATTCCCTTGACTGTAAGGTGCATGGATAGTCTTACTAGGTTCAACAAATACAGGGCCAGGATTCATTTCAATATCTCCACTAAGATTAAATTTGCAACAATTTGATAGGTGGTTCACGCTTTTGTGTGTTTTACATAACTTACGCTTCTTGTTATTCTTACAAAACTTACATGGTTTTAAGCGATTTGGTTTCGGTGTGAGATTCGAGGGACGACGACTATCATAATTATATTTAATTTTAAAAATATTTATAGCATACCTTACTTGATCATTTAGCAATCTTTGACGTTCACGACTCGATGCTTTAAATAAACGAAAGATACGAGAAGACCTAGGTACATTTCTTCTGATGTGTCTTCGAATCAACTTTCTTAACTTTCGACTTTTCTTCAACAAACGACCTATTTTCTTAGCTGGAATTCTACTAGGTTCTCGATCACGTGATCTAACATGGCGCTTGGCCTCGTGCTTTATTTCCACTGAGTAAACATAAGACATTTGCTCCCATTTTTTATGTAGAAATCTAGCATAACGTGATCTCAACTCTTGTCTACTAAGTATAGAAGTATTTACATCTTCAATATTTACTGACAACTCTAATTCAGTTGGGTCAATAAGTCTTTCGTTTGAACTTTCAGTTTCACAATGACAATCACAGCCACATGACTTATGCAAGACACAGATAAGAGACATAACGTATTTTATTATATAAATTATTTGATCAGCAATGTATAAATATCGATTCATACCAGTGATGTACACAGATACTGCACAAGTTGTCGCTATAAAAATCATATAAAACATTATTCGTACACTATGACTATGTTCATGATACATTATTTCCTCGGATTCAGCTCTTGCACGAAGAAGGGTTGTATAGTTACCTGACATGTCTTCACTCTTGTTCAGATATTTGCAGCATTTCATTGTATTGCTTTCAAGTGATGTTGCTGAGAACTCGTGAGATTCAGATTGCATTGATATTGTCTTCAGTTTGATATTCAGTTTGATATTCAGTTTGATATTCAGTTTGATATTCAGTTTGATATTCAGTTTGATATTTTAAAAATAAATCTTAAAAGAATCCCAACTGCTTTAAAAAATCCCGAGATCTCGGGATAAAATCCCGGACTTGGCAATGCTGCTATCAATGTTCATTGTTGGAGTATGATGTATGTATGTATGTAAAACTAAAGACACTAGCCCAGACAACAATATGTTGATTTCCACGGGGGGCGTCTACAAGATTAAAAATTACAAAAATGTAGGAAAAATATAAAGGCTATGTACAAGTTGGTGAGAGTGTAATAGCGTGACCCATTTAATTTATGTATTTCTTATGCATAACTTTAGCCTTAATTGTTTGGGCGTAATATAAAACGACAAGCGTGCGAATGCTAGCGAGAGACCTAATATCGATACCTGAGTAAACCGTACACCGAACTCTTATCGATCGTGTGAAGGACACAAATGTAAGTTAACTTTGTAAATATGTCTTTGAGTTAACTATTTTATTAATTGTAAATACCATATTTATAGTATTCGTTACCTGTCCTACATCGTGATATTCAATAACGAAGAACGGTGATATATCAGCAACGAACGGATCGAGTAACGACTGTGTCTAAGCAATAGTGTGTTTAAGTACACAATCATTTAATAAACGACAAGAACATCGTACCAACGTCTTTGGTTTTATTCTCTGTGAGCGATTTTCAAGCAGAACGAAGCGTGCACTCACAGAGAGCCCGGATATTATGTGTTAGAATATATTCGTTACGTTGGAGTTATGTTTCAGCTGGCTTTTGAGAATGCATGGACTCAGCCAGTCTGGTGTTGATAAGGAGACTATTCCATAGTTCCACTATATCTAAAGCTCTTCTTTAAAAATTATCTTTTGGGCTTAGGAAGAGCCAGATCTGTATGACTATTTCTAACTTCATAGTTAGTTTGCATATTTCTCAACAATGAACTTCTTAACTATTATGTTTACCAAAACTCGAGACGTTTTAAAATGAACTCACATTTATTTAACAAGTTCTGGCCTTTCATACAAAACACTATACGATATTTGCATAACATAAAACAATTAACATACACCTAATAACATAAAATTAACATAAACATAACATTTCCTCCGCCACAAAACTGAGAGTTCAATGTTAATAGTCAGTACTCTTAGTAATTATATCTATATAACTATAATAAATCTACTTATTCTATTTCTTTTTTTTTTTAATTTTTTTCTACCGATAAATAGAGGCATTTCAAAGTCTATTAAGAGATTATACTTCTTCTATTAAACGTTTTGGTTTCGTGCGAATACGAATTGGATACCTGCGAGTACTTGAAAGTTTTTCCCCACCGTTTAAAATACCAGTAATAGGTTCTTCTGTATTCGTTGATGTTGGTAGTGGAACTGGAGATAGTGAGTCTGTTTTCGGGATTAAGGTGGTAGTGGGACTTGGCTCACACTGGGATAAGGTGGGAGTGGGACTCGCCTCAATGGATTGTCCTGGGTTGCCATTACTTGCCACACTGACTCCCTGCGTTGAAGGTGACATAACATCAGCTGCAGTTGATCCGGCGAGACTTCGTAATTGATCCACATGTCGTTTCCAAAACAGATCACCAACCTGAACTCTATAAGTAATTGGACTTAACTTCATTTGAACCACTCCCTTTATCCATGGATCCTTTCGTGGTCGATAGTCTTTCACCATTACTGGATCTCCAATTTCCAAGTTACGCGGTGGAGTTTGTGGTAAATGTTTGGATTTTCGCTCCATCTTAGCAGACAAACTAGGATGCAAAATGTCCAATCTGGTTCGGAGTCTTCGACCCATCAGGATTTCAGCTGGCGTGCAACCCGTAGCAGTGTGTGGAGTCGTGCGATATCCCAAAAGAAAACGTGCCAATTTCTCCCCAGCAGATCCCTCTTCCTTCTTACGAATCTTCATGGCATCTTTAAACGTTCTGACTGCTCTTTCTACCTCACCATTTGAAGCTGGATGATACGGCGATGATAAACGTTGTCGAATTCCATTCAACTTTAAGAACTCTTTCATTTCCTCCGCCACAAATTGAGGACCATTATCTGACACGATCTCTTCGGGTAGACCATGAACTGAAAACAGGAAACGTAACGCTCGAACTGTGGCAGCAGCGGTAGTTGATGACATTGATAGGACTTCAATGCATTTAGACTTGGCATCTACCACCACCAAATACATCACACCATCCATTGGACCCGCAAAGTCTATATGAATTCTTTGCCATGGACGCACAGGCCAAATCCAAGGATTACTCACCTTCAAGGGGGACTTACAACGGTTAGCTTGACAACTGGTGCAATCTCTGACAGTCTGTTCAATGTCTTGATCCAATGTTGACCACCACACATGTAAACGTGCCAAAGATTTCATTCGCACCATTCCTGGATGATTCATATGTAACTCCATCAACACTTGCTCTTGATATCTAGTTGGAATCACCACTCTGGTTCCTCTAAGAAGACAGCCTTCTTCTACAGTAAATTCGTCTTGCTTGGTGAAGTAAAATCGAAGTTCCTCATGCAAACTACCTTCCTCTGGCCAACCATGCAACAAGAAATAAACCACGCGAGACAAAACAGGATCTTTTTGCGTAGCTTCTCGGATCATACAAACCGAAATCGGTGCCCGTTCCAGTTGAACTCGATTTACTTCTTCAGCTTCTGAAGTCCACCCATCTGGCTCTTCCACAACTTTCCTCGGCAACCGGGACAACGCATCAGCATTAGCATTATTCTTGGAAGTTCGATATTCGATATCATATTGATACGCCCCAAGTTGAATCGCCCATCTCTGCAGACGTGATACTGCTAACACAGGAACACCACGTTTAGGTCCCAGAATCAACGTGAGAGGCTTGTGATCAGTTATTAACGAAAAACGCCGTCCATATAGGTACTGGTGAAACTTCTTCAATCCAAAAATTATTGCCAAGGCCTCTTTTTCGATCATAGAATAATTTTGTTCACTAGCGGAGAGTGTTCGAGACGCATAAGCTATTGGTTGTTCTTCTCCATCATCAGATACATGCGATAGTACAGCTCCTATTCCACAGGACGATGCATCAGCAGCTAGTCTCACGGATTTCTTGGGTCGTAATGCGTTAACAATGGTGACTTCTCCAAAGCTGACTTTAAAGTTTCAAATGCCTTCTGACAGTCGTCGGACCAGTTCCAAGGAACATCTTGGGATAGCAACCGATTAAGAGGATTTACCAAAGTTGCCATATCCGGAATGAACTTGCGATAATAGTTCACTAAACCTAAGAATGACTTTAAATCTGTTGGATTTTCTGGAATTGGAACTTCCCGAATGGCTTGAACTTTACGAGGCGATGGATGGATTCCTTGTCGATCCACCACAAATGCAAAATACTCCACTGAGGGTTGCAGGAACACACACTTCGATTTCTTCAGCTGAATTCCCATACTCTGAAGACGATTAAGAGTGCTGTCGAGATTTCGCAAATGTTCCTCATCATTCTTGCCCGTAATGATCAAATCATCAAGAATACCTCCAACTCCTTGTAGACCATTCAACACCACGTCCATAGTCTTTTGAAAAATGGCTGGGCTTGAGGCTACTCCAAAAGGCAATCTCGTATACCGATATAGCCCCAAATGGGTGTTAATCGTAACATATGGCTTTGACTCGTCTTCCAACAGAACTTGTTGATACGCAGATGACAGATCAATCTTCGAGAATTTCTCGCCCCCGTTTAGTTTTGTAAATAATTCCTCAGCAGTAGGCATTGGATATTCTTGCACATCAAGACATGGATTAATGGTGACTTTATAATCCCCACATATCCGTACACTTCCATCTGGTTTCAATACTGGCACGATTGGAGTTGCCCACTCAGAGAACTCGACCTTTTCCAACACCCCGAGTTCCTCCAACCGGTTTAGTTCCTCGCCGATTTTGTCTTTCAGAGCAAATGGAACAGGTCTGGGTTTGAAAAGTTTGGGCGTCGCGTTTGGCTTCATCTTCAAATGTGCCTTCACTCCTTTGACCGTACCCAACGAATCATCAAATAACGAGGAATACTGACTAGTTAGTTGCTCCACATTGTTGACCCGCTTAACTGAAACTTTCTTTATTTGACTCCAATTCAGCTTTAACACCGACAACCAGTTGCGACCTAATAGAACAGGGCCTTCATTATTAGTCACTATAACAGGTAGATGAGCCTTTTGGTTCCCATACACCACGCCCACATCAATTTCACCCAACACCGGAATTTCGTGTCCGGAATAACTTCGCAATTTAACGTTGGACTTTTGTACTGGTTTTGTTGACGACAATTTCCTCCAGACGCTTTCTGGCATAATTGACACCGCAGCTCCCGTATCCACTTCCATCGTTACTGGTTTTCCTTCAATCGATACGAGTACTTTCAGCTCTGTATGTTTTCTCCCCGAATCAGTCAACATAAACACCGGCCATGTTGTATCCATAACCTCTTCTTGGCTTTCCCGGTCACTTTCAACGTCGCTATCTGTCTTTACGTTATGGATTCCGCTCGATTCTTTTTTTTTTCCTCTTTCATCCTTCCCTTTCGACTTTCCAGATCTGTTTTCTTCCAGTTATTGTTGCCAGATCTCTCGGGACATTTCTTAATTATATGTCCATAATTTTGACAACCATGACATTTCGACTTTCGAAAGAAGCACTTGTCCGGAACGTGATTCTTCTTGCCACAACGAAAACACTCGGGTAATACGGTCTCTAGTCGGTGCAACGATTCTCCATGCAAGGCTGAAGTTTCTCTGTCCGTTAGTTCCGCTGCGCAAGCTTTTTCCACGGCTAACTTTAAAGTCAATTCCGCTTCACCTAGTAGCTTGCGTTGAATCACCTGGTTTCGTAATCCACACACAAATCGGTCTCGAATCGCTTCGTCTCGATAGCCACCAAATTCACAAGTTTCAGCTAGTCTCTGTAATTTAGCGAGATAATCCCTTATCGATTCAGACTGTTCTTGTTCAGCCTTGTGGAACTTGTATCGCTCGGCAATAACGATCGGTTTTGGCTCCAAATGTTGAGTCAACGTCTCTACAATTTCTTGATACGTTAGTTCTTTCGGTCTTCTCGGTGCTGTAATAGATCTGAGCAAAGCATACATCTTACTACCCATTAAGGTAAGTATGCTCAATGCTTGTTTCTCCGTAGGTACATTGTTCACTTCGAAAAATATTTCAAGCCGCTCGACGTACTGCTTCCAGTCATTATTCGACGAATATTCTTCCATATGTCCCATGAACGACAGATTAAAACCAACATTTGGCTGGGCAGCTTGCCCTTCTTCGTCCATCGTAATCCACAAAATCCTCGTCGCCAATTATTATGTTTACCAAAACTCGAGACGTTTTAAAATGAACTCACATTTATTTAACAAGTTCTGGCCTTTTATACAAAACACTATACGATATTTGCATAACATAAAACAATTAACATACACCTAATAACATAAAATTAACATAAACATAACATTAACCCATGCCATTGTGATTTTATTGGTTTTGGGTTTCTCTGTGGCTGTGTCATTTGAAATCAAGCTATCAAAGGTGCCATTGCTTTTTGTCACATAAGATGGGATTCTCCTGGAAATGTGTAATCAGCAAACAAGTTTGGCTTGCACTGCAGGACGTCAGGTCAGTGCCTTCAGGAGTACTGATATAATCTTGCTGAGTTTCGTCCACGTCTTCTTCGATATCCGCCATATTCAGAAGGAAAGTACTTCATGTACGCAGTATGACTAAGGTTAGGTAATTGGATAGGCCATGTAACATGTAACCATGATGCCAAGGCTGGCAACACACATGGCAATGACAAAATTTAATGAAAAAATGGTTGATACTGTACTTGAACACAGTGTTATAAATACAAATACTACACCTCACCAAATCAAAAGCAAAATATGATGATCCTGAAATCACGTTTCCAAATTTAAACAACACAATTCAAAAAATACAGCAGAACTCTTTAGATGCACAGTCACTTCACACTTCACACGATGGGATGTGTCACTTCATTATGCTGACACATGTCCCCGCAACATTTTTTCTTGTCTGTGCGCATCACAATATTTTCCCTGGTTCAACACCCAGCTACATGTATCCTTAGTGTGTCCTTCATATGATTTTGAGGTTGCCACTTCTCTCCGAAACATGACCCTGTAAAATGATCTCACATGTTTTCCAACATTTTATCCCTGGCTCATGCCTCTGCTTCAACACCCTGCTTCATGTTTCCTCATTGTGTGCTGCATATGGTTTTGTCGTTGGCACTTGTTGCTGCAACATGTCCCTGTAAAATTAACCCTCGTTTCTTCTCACATAAATTTGTCCCCGATATATGCTATGCAAAAAACGAGCAGCGGATCAGATCGGATTTTTTTCCGAACTGGTCTGATCCATGAAGTGATTTCGGATCGGATAAAAAAAAGTTAAAACTATTTGAACTTTTTTTTATCCCGTTTCGGGCACTTTCTGATTAATATAAGCCAAAAATTTCAACAGACAACGCACGCGCTAATGATCTTTCTTTCCAATCCTTGTTTCCCGGAGTGGAAATTAGCCTTTAACCCCTTTAACAAGACATAACTGGCGTTACCTCCGGCACACATGCCAGTCTTTAATACAGAGCTTCTGAACATAAACAATAATACAGTTCATATTCGCATTTAGTGCCTTGCGAGTTGCGGACCTATAAATGTTCAATTGCGAAATTTAGAAGCACATCGTACTTTAAAAAGTATAGAAGTTAAATTGTTCAAAAATGTAAATAAACCGCATGATGCATTAGCTTTGTCTTACATGCCTGATGGATAATACCTATGCAAAGAGAAGAGAAATTGGCTTGCATAATACCAGAGTGTGGAAGATTCTGCAGCATTATCCTTTTCCGAAGGATGAGAAAGGTGTTAAGGTACATAACTTTACCTTGTTGTGTTATTTATATTGTACCCCTACGAATTTCTATGTCATGGTGGTTTTTACAGTAAACAAGATGCCTGTTCTGGTGTTAACTCCAGGGCAAGTGCCAGTCTTTAATATAGAACTTCTGAACATAAATAATACAGTTCATATTCGCATTTAGATGCCTTGCGAGTTGCGAACCTATAAATGTTCGATTGCAAAATTTAGAAGCACATTGTACTTTAAAAAGTATAGAAGTTCAATTGTTCAAAAATGTAAATAAACTGCATGATACATTCGCTTTGTCTTACACGCCTGATGGATAATACCTATGCAAAGAGAAGAGAAATTGTCTTGCATAATACCAGAGTGTGGAAGATTCTGCAGGATTATCCTTTTCCGAAGGATGACAAAGGTGTTAAGGTACATAACTTTACTTTGTTGCGTTATTTATATTATTTGTACCCCTCAGAATTTCTATGTCATATTTTCTCATTTCTTTGTATAGTTCAAACAATGTTCAAACAACTCACCATATTTTTATGTTTGTATATAATATGTTATAGATCAAAGCAGAATTGGAGAGAATCAAAGGAAAGCACGAGATTGGTAAAGAATTTGTGGGAGTTGTGGGAAGAGAAAATGCCCAAGCTTTTATCAGCCTTGAAGAAAACACAGGCTCGTGATGTCAAAAACATCTTAGAAAAATTGGATGAATGCAACACTTCAGATGAAAAAGGTACAATTACAAAATTATTAAAACAGTTAAATTTCTCACTCTAAGACTACTATATCAAAAATATTATTTTATATCAGGAACATTGTGAATTCCTAAAATAATACTTATATACGCCATTTAATTTTTTGTAGATTTGGAAGACCAATGTATATTTGCATTCACTTCCACATGATCTTGGTGAGAGAATGACCACCAAATTGACTCCAGGAGAGTTCTTTCTGGATTTTTTATCTGTAAGTTGCAGTATCATTTGTAAGCATCATCTAAAGTCTTTCTAATCAGTGGATGTTGAATTAAAATTTTGCAGGAAGTGTATATATACCTTATATGAAGAGATTGTTTCCATTTTCAGGATGATGACGATGATGCCCAAACCAAAATTAGGCACTCCACAACGCCAAGGCTTCTGGATCATTTGGTGCCATTAATTTGTTGGCTTTGATCGCCGAGGGAATGGTGGTGGTAAAATTCAAATCAACAAAATTCTAAATGCTGTAATTTGCTTGTTGGCATATTATTTATTCAATGTCGAATACCCGTAAGGACCTTCTGGCCACAGCAAAAAGGTATACATGTTTTTAGACTTTGTTCTGTTAGGGAAAAAAAAACACTTTACCTCTCGCCATCGAGAATTTGCTGTCATTAATGTGAATAAATGCCTAATTATACCTATACTCTAACTTTTGTAAATACATGTAATATACCTATACTGAAATATATTGAAATCATGCAAGCCAACATTTTTGTCATGTTTGTTTTGTAATAGGTTGCTATATTCTATTATCCTCAGTTAAAACCAGTTAGCCAGTTATTAATAGGTTAAAACTACTAGTTAACTATAGGTTATTTTAAGCCATTTGGTATACATAAGAATAGTGAGGGTTCAAATGAAAATGCAATTGAAGATATTATTGGAATAATAAATCCATGTGCTAACCATCAAGATCTTGAATTGCCTGAAGGAAGGCTGGAACCACTTCCCGAAAATGCGTTAAATTACCGGGAGATACCACTTCAGATTATTAATATGCTGATTCAGGCATTAAATAATCTTAGAAAAGCTAGGGAGACAGAGAGAAGATACGAACCCTATGCTGCTTTGTTAGTTTATAACGAGAGAAGACCAGGAAGATCAAGATTTGAAACGACCGAAGATCAACTAATTTTCTTTCAAGTTAATATCCATGCAATAGATGAAACGTCTACCATATCAAGTTGCATTGCGGGCCTGTTTTTCTCTGATGCGTAACTACAGTGATGTAAAAGTTTTATTTTTTCTGATTTCTTTCTGGTCTCCCTCTGACTCTATGTATGTATGTATATGTATGTGTGTGTATATATATTGTTTTTTCTAGAAAATGGGTTCACACACAGCCAGACATGGCACTCATGCTCGGTGTTAGTAGGCGATAGAGAACCGATTGGCAGAATTTAATATTATGAATCATAATAGAATAGCACTGAATATTGACAATGACTTGCTCAATGCTCACACAGAACACATAGTTAGTCTTTTTCCTATAGATCAGGTATGTTTTCAACTGAAAAGACCCGCTCGAAATAGAATATGAATGTTGAAAGGACTTTTTACTGTGTCATTGATAAACATTTTACTTATTGTTTAGGTTTTAAAACAATAGAGGGGCAATTAATTGCTCAAGGAATACGGGTCCAGAGAAGAAGGTTAAGAGAGCCCATCAAGCAT